AAATATTGACTGTGAAGTGGCTAGACATGGGTTGTGCAATGGGTAAATATTGGTGTGAAGTCGCTAGGCATGGGTTGTGCAATGGGTAAATATTAACTGTGAAGTGGCTAGACATGGGTTGTGCAATGGGTAAATATTGGTTGAGAAGTGGCTAGGCATGGGTTGTGCAATGCGTAAATATTGGTTGAGAAGTGGCTAGGCATGGGTTGTGCAATAGGTAAATATTGGTTGTGAAGTGGCTAGGCATGGGTTGTGCAATGGGTAAATATTAACTGTGAAGTGGCTAGACATGGGTTGTGCAATGGGTAAATATTGGTTGTGAAGTCGCTAGGCATGGGTTGTGCAATGGGTAAATATTAACTGTAAAGTGGCTAGACATGGGTTGTGCAATGGGTAAATATTGGTTGTGAAGTGGCTAGACATGGGTTGTGCAATGGGTAAATATTGGTTGTGAAGTGGCTAGGCATGGGTTGTGCAATAGGTAAATATTGGTTGTGAAGTGGCTAGGCATGGGTTGTGCAATGGGTAAATATTAACTGTGAAGTGGCTAGACATGGGTTGTGCAATGGGTAAATATTAGTTGTGAAGTTGCTAGGCATGGGTTGTGCAATGGGTAAATATTGGTTGAGAAGTGGCTAGGCATGGGTTGTGCAATGGGTAAATATTAACTGTGAAGTGGCTAGACATGGGTTGTGCAATGGGTAAATATTGGTTGTGAAGTGGCTAGACATGGGTTGTGCAATGGGTAAATATTGGTTGTGAAGTGGCTAGGCATGGGTTGTGCAATGGGTAAATATTGGTTGTGAAGTGGCTAGGCATGGGTTGTGCAATGGGTAAATATTGGTTGAGAAGTGGCTAGGCATGGGTTGTGCAATAGGTAAATATTGGTTGTGAAGTTGGTAACTGAGTTTGTGAAATGGGTGAATATTGATAGTTTCGTGGGTAACCATGAGTTGTGAAATGTGGGAAATACTGGTTGTGAAGTTAGTTGTGAAAGCATAGTAATGGGTTGAAAATTGATAAATATCCTTCATTTTTTCTGCAATGCTAAATTATACGACTGCCTTCTTGTATCAACATATACATGTAATAAAATTGTTGTTTTTGTTGAATTGTAGGATGAGGAAATTTCTGATGTAGAGAAATTACTACGGAGTTGGAGACATGTGATTATACTCTTAGATAGAGTGCTAACATGGCAAAAACCATTCTATCCTTATGCATTGGTTGGAGCTGTTACCTTCCAATTTGTGTGAGTATATTCTGTATATGTAAAGTGCTCTTTTTGGCTGATTTACTATATTTATCAATATTGCGATCAGATAAGAACTCAGGGATTGTTTAATAACAATGATGACAAAGGATTATTGGAACCCCATGGCATCTTTTACCAAAATTTTCATTCCTCATCATTTGGACCCTCTCTTTGAGTAGTAACACAGAACCTGAATTTCGCTAATTTGTAATATTTGTGATACAATGCAAATACTAGAAAAATTAGATATCATAAATAATCAAATTTAGGCGTCATTTCACTCTTTCCTGGTAATTTCAATTTTTCTTAGTCACTGATGCCTACTCAAGAGTACAATGTTTATTGCCACTAATGTGAATGGTTACATTTGTTAGTTATTCTAATAGGTGATTTTCCGTACAATTGCGAGATCTCGCGAGATGCATGAAAGACGCGCGTCGAACGTCTGCCCCAAAAATCGAACGAATTTCTTTATTTCGTAGATCAAACCGACCGGCCGATCTTCGACAGAGGAATATTGCTTCCGAATACCCTTACTTAATCGAAATTGCCTATCATCAAATGTGAACAGCACATTATTAAGCATGGAAATGTCCCCCAAAATACTTCGCGTTTGTCGAATCCCACGCGATGTTTGACGCCACTACGACGCTATGACCTTTGTTTGTCCTGTTTTTACGTTCGATTTCACGCATAACGCGTGATTCTCGCAGTGTACGGAAAATGGTCTATTGCACCATTTATAGACTATATGTTTTGTTTTTTCTACAATAAATCCCATCATGCATTGCTATTTGAATTCTGCTTTGGGCGTGTGAAAAACACAATTAACATAAGAGGTGTTTGAAGTTTGCTTGGACATAGTATGGTATAGTCCATCTTCGATCACCAAACACAGAATCTCACATGCAATTCAGTGACTTGGTGGCACCCTGAAAAGATGCTGAAAACTCAAACGCAATCAAATTCATGCTCAGACAATTAACGACTTTCAAGATCAAACATTGTGGTAACGAAAAATTTGAAAAAAAATTGAAATAAAGACTTTTACAATTCCCAACCCATGGTTACTGTCTGTTTTTTTACTGCTATTTATTTATTTTTTTTTTTGATGCCAATGTCAGCAAATAATAGAAAATTCAGAGCAATCAGATAAATTGTTCAGCAAATAATTTTTTTCGGTAAAACACAACAGTAGGTGATACATTGTAATTCACATTTACTTTTATTTTCATATTTTTATGTTGATCATTTCTATTTATTTTCTCCAGATTGTTGTGGTTATTTGATCCCTCTGTGTTGACGATGATTTCTTTGACTATTATGAAGCTCTGTTTACTTGATTACCTCGTTCCTACATTCTGTAACAAATACTTGGATAATAAGGAATGGTAAGTTGTCATGTAACAATTACATTAAACAATTATATTGAAAACCTAGCATCTTGTAAACAAAACATTATAACTGCTATTATTGACAGGACTCCTGATAATGAACGTCAGTATCAACACGTCTGCATGGACATTGTGGACACTAAACGATTTATTCGTGGTCGTTTCAACTCATTGATGAAGTTACGTGATGAGAAACCTAAGCAGTATTTTATACTGGTGATGATAATATTATCAGTGGTTGCATTCATCGGTAACATTATACCTAATATTCTCTTGGGTTATCTCTTTGGTAAGTCAGTTTCCTCTTCTAAACTCAATGCTTCATTTTACTTGTGTGTTCATTGCTTTTTGTAAAAAACAAAAGATAGATTTCTAGATTCAAGGTTCACCATGGGAGTTCCATAATGTTTGGTGCAATCACCTGCATACATAAAGTACCGTATTTGTCTTCAGTTAAGCGCCACCTTCAATTAGGCGCCAGTGCCACAAAAACTTTGTATTTTACACCTCAATTAAGCGCCAGACAAAGTTGAAATTTTGGCACGTAATGATCGTGAATTGGGCGCCGGCGGATCGGTTACCGGTTCGTAGCGATGGACGCGATCGCGGAAGTCCCTCGCTGTTACTGTACGAATGGCTTTTATGTAAAAAAAATTGGTTTTGTTTCTAAAAATTTTTAAGAAATCGGTCTATAATCTCTTGAAACATGTCTTTTTAGTCTACTGTAGAAAATATCAGCGTGGTTTTTAATTTCGCAGTAAGTCCATAAAAACGAAATTAAAACAACGCGAAAATGTTCTGTTTCAAATGCGCTGTTGTCACAGTAAACAGTGTTAAATTATTCTTTAAATGCTCAGTTTACTTTCCAAAAATAACTAATTTCTTGATTTGAAAAAAAAAATCATGCCGTTTTTCCCACCAAAATCAAAGCCAAAATATCGCAAACATCGGCAAATCACTTCCGCATTGCGTTCATACATTATTTAAATGAGCTATGGTAATTTGATCACGTTGGCATCATCCAGCATTTTGATTGGTTAATTAACGACTTGACCTATCAGGTCAAAAAACGCGTTCCAGGTCAAGTCCTAGACAGGAAGCATGGCAGACATTGAATCGCGCCGAGCGTTTACATGCGACCAGAATCATTCGCTTACGATG